CGTTTGCCGCTGGGCGGAGACGGCCTTCCGAGGGACGGGGTGGCTGTGCGGGTGGGGGGTCTGCTTTCAATCGGGAGGCGATGTCGGATCGCTTGGGAAACGCGGGGTAAGGCGATGGCTGTTGCGCAGGATGGGAGCGCTAGAACCGCTGTGAAAAGCAGGATCTCGAAGGTTTTGGCTAGTGAACCTTAGCTGTTGGCCGCTGCTGGCGTGCAGGTTTTTGGAGACGCTGGGTGGTGAAAGTGTGTTACCTTCCGAACTGAGCAGCGGTATTCCACGCTCCTTAGGAACTCTGGAATTCCTGTGCTGTATCAAGTCGCACAAAACTAGAAATAATGGTGCCCCTTAAACGCCTGGAGCGTGACAGAAGCAGCTGAGATCCCAATTATGACTGTGAGAAGAATGACTGGCAGCAAGTAAAGTTAGCTCTAACAGTCCGCGGCCATAATTGGTGCATACGTAATCCAAATGCATACATTGCTGTAATAAAAACAAAAGACCTTCTGTGCAGATAAGCAAATGCATATCAGTATTGTCGAAATGGATACCAGAACATGGATTTCAGTTTGATACATACGCAGCTCTGCAAAGCTGTGTTGATTTGCCTCGCATACGTTGGCTCAAAGTAAGAAAACACAGGAAAATCAATGATGTTTAACTTAAAGGGGTGGAACACAAAAATCAGGAAGTTTTTTTCAAAGGAAATCAAAAGGAGTTACTGGCAGAGTAAATGCGTGCGGGCAAGACAGAGACGAGGTTTTGTGTTTAGTCTTTTCAATTCTTTAAAACCTTAGCAAGGTTAAACCGCAGTGACAGGAACAAAAAAAAAATCAAAATAATCTGTGTTAAGCTAAATGTAATAGGGAAGAACAAGAAAAGATCGGACAACTTGCTATTAATTTTCACAGCTTTTGCAAAAACCTTTTTCAGACTCATCAGAAGCAGGAAGTCTATAGGGTCAGTAGGTATAGAGCGTTTCGGGAGAAAAATCTTCAACAAGCTATATTAAATCGGTAACCCCATACTGAAAAAAATTGGGGAGGATCTCCTATTAGAAATGTGCAGGGGATGGTATTAAGGAACTGAGTCAAATCGAAGTGCTACTAAAAGAACAAATTGATAATAAGAAAAAGTGATCGATCGAGGTGGTATTCCAAATTGTTGAGGGGGGAACAGCTGTGGCTGTTCATAAACAAAGACAAGCCTAACTTAGGCATGACTTTTGAGGAAGAGATCATGGAAACATCTAGTACTATTCTTTGAAAACCTTGCTCCATTCTTAGCAACAATTTAAAAAAAAATCATTAGGAAATAATACACAGCAGATCAAAAACATTTTTATGAATTCATTGAGTAAATCTGTATGGGGCCCAGGTCTCGAATACTGTGTGCATTTCTTCTCAATAAAGAGAAAATGGTAAGGATAATCGGAAGTGTGGAATTGCTTTTAAAGGAGAAAGAATTAGACGGCAGCTTTGGTTTACAGAGGAGGTGACTTACATTAATGTCCACAAAGGGTATAAATAAACAGAAAACTATTACTCACCATTCTAGTCACTCATTCTGTTTCGTGCCCCTTGTTCTTACCAGGCAACGCGTTGAAAATGAAAGGAAATGTTTTTCAGGTAGTGAACAATTAAACTGTGAAACACATTGTCATGGCGCCTTAGAAGCAAAGAGCATAAATAGAACAAAAATGGGAAGAAATGGCCATCAAATACAGTTACGTTATTTTCGTCTTAGAAAAGCCTTGAAGTGCAGATTGCTAGGAGGTGGGAGGATGTAAACGGAGAATGTTGTTACGGCACTTCTCCTTCCTTATGTTGTTTTCATTTGCATTGGCCACTGCTTGAAACAGGTGGTCTGGCAATATGGCTGCTTATGTTTTTGCTTCAAGCTTCACCTTTTCTTTGGTGTGCTTGAAGCCGCAGGTAGCGAGACATTCAAGTTATTCTTTAAGCCGGCAAAGCGGGGCAGATAAACAACACGGTACCTGCTTCGGGTATTTGATGTTTATTATGTGTGTGCTTTCTGAACAGACCTCTCCTTCAGTGCGCTGCTGCACTTCTTGTAACCTTTGCTTTACTAGCCCTGCTGTGGAATTTGAACAGATAAAGATGGTAACTGTTTCTAATCACACGTCTTTAATATTTATAACAGTGCCCGGGCGATGGGTAACAGTCTAAAAGCACTCTTCAATGTAGCATTTAACAATCTATCTGCCGTGATGGATTATCTGTGCGTCCTGCCTGCTAACATCGTGAGGCTCCGCAGATCTAACTCCCTCCGTCTCTCGGCGGTCCCGGGCAGCTCTGTGGCTCGACCTACCATTCCAAGCCACCAGTTCTTAGTCACGAGGCGGCAGATCCGCTTGAGGCTGGTTTTTCTCTGTCGGGGCCCTCGCAGGAGGCTTTTCACCGACAGTTCGCGCGACCGTACGTTATCTGTGAGGCTTTGAGCTCGGGGCGCTTCACCGCGAGCGGCCGTGCTCCCTGGCTGCTCCGCCAGCTGCCGCCCAGCCCCGGCTCGGGCCCAGCTGAAGCACGCCGCCTCACCGCGGCTCCTGCGCGCCAGCACCGAGCCGAGCGGCTCTCCGGGCACACCC